TATTGTAGACAACGCATTATTTAAATTGTCGAGAATTTCGAGACAAGACAAGATTTTCGAGTTCAAGATCAAGACAAGAATGTACATTTCAAGATTTTTTCAAGATGATATTTCCTAAAATCTCGTCTTGTTTCGTCTTGCGGCATCCCTAAACTTAAGGCTTAAAACACCTATTGTAATTCCGGACTAAATAAGGCATAAGGCATAAGCCAATCAGAGGGCTGTATTAGCATCTTAAAAAATTACTTAAGATGGTCTTAAAATATGAACAAATTACAAATATACGCTTAGTCTTATTATATATTTTATTATTTTTCTAAGGCATTTAAAAAAGATAAAAAAATTTTCATCTTAAAAAAAAAGTTAAAAAGTTAACGTTTAAAAGTAACTTAGTTAAGTTAAAATTTAATACACTTATAATTAACTAAGTTAAGTTAAAAGTTATTAACTTTTTAACTTTTTTTTTTAACTTTTAACGTTTTAACTAGTTACTACCCAACCCTGCCAATAACACATTGTAGCAGATTCTCTCAAAGAAACTTGATTTATATTCGTTTTCATTAATGTAAATTAATTCTTATCTTGGTTTAATCCACTTTTCATTGTTTTGTAACTCAGAAAAAAAATATATATATAAAGTTAAACCGAAGATCTGGCTCTATAAATATAAAATTAATTTTAATCTTGTGTGATTCAATTTACTCTTCATTTTTTCTAAATCTAAGAATTAGAAAAAGATAAAGAATAAATTAAATCAAGATTAAAATTAATTTTAAGTATACACGTACAATAATTTTAGTCGTAATTGTAAAGTGATAACGCAAAGTTCATGATTGCTATAAATGGAACTGATGTATACGTAAACAACTTGATTATCTAAACAACTTGCGCTGAACCAACTTTTATAATTGATAACTACTACATAAAAATTAAGAAATTGTGACGATTTTAATATAGCTTCATCTTTTACGAATTAATATTTTCATTAGCCCACTTTCAGATGCTTTCTTCTCATCTGCCAAGATAAAGAAATTTCTAAATGCATAGCATCGTCTAAAATTTTATAATTTAATTAATTTAATTTTGTTTTAGGATGATCCAAAGATTGTCGAGCAAGCTGTGCATGATGCTATTGACGCTGGATATCGACATTTCGATTGTGCTTACATTTATCAAAATGAAAAGGAAATTGGCAAAGTCCTATGTGAGAAGATCGCGAAAGGGATCGTGAAGAGAGAAGATCTCTTCATTACTACTAAGGTACATTCGCGTTATCTCTTTGTCTGAATTCCGATATGTTGATAAATCGATCGTTTTTGTTCAGTTGTGGAACACATTCCATAAACGAGACAATGTGGTGCCGGCTTGTCGAAGATCTGTGAAGAACTTTGGACTCGGCTACGTGGATCTCTATCTGATACACTGGCCCATATCTTATGCGGTAAATTAATGGACTTTCTACAGTAAGCTGTTGGTATCCAGATGGCAACGTATCTCAGATTAAGATATATTACAAGACGTCTTAAAGCAATCTTTAAGATGTCTTCGAGATGTCTTATGGACATGATGTTGTCTGGGCAGCATCATGCAATGCTGTCATATTGCCGACAATGCAAAAGGTAACATTGATGCTATCTTGCCGTTAAACTGCTGGCAATACATATACACATTGTTGCCTGCATATATGTTGCTACAATGTCGGTATACTCGAAATCGTTGAAGACAAATCTACGGTAAATTGTCAGCATTATAAGCAACCACTTTTTTGTGCAATTTTGTTGGTGAGATACGCTTTGCTATCTGGGTAATAGATCAGAAATCAGGAACAAGTTGTAAGCAGTGGCTCATAAGATAGCAATAAGTCTGCAGTAATTAATCAGATTACGAGAAGATAAATTGTATAAGAATTTCATTTCTTATACAATTTAAAACTTAGATTACATTATGACTGACCAATCACATAGTGTATTGTTATTTTCCTTGAATTACCACCTTCCAAATAGCACAGCAGCGCTTGCAAAGCACTAAAAAAGCGATTATATGCGCTTTTTTAGCGCTTTGTTAACGCTTTATAAGCGCTGTGTGCTACTTGGATAGCTTGGGCTTCTGATTGGTTAGAATATTATGATGTAACGATCTAATATGATTTATTTTGAATGTAAGTTTCCCAAGATTTATGACTTATAATTCTAAATTATTACTAGTATGATATAATAAGTGTGATAAACGGTTTATTGTAAAAAAAACCCACGTACAACTTTTAACGCTTGTCAATGACTTTTTTTAAGGTGTTACAATCATTAGATAAAAATCGATGGTACCGTATTGTCGTTATTGATACGTATGTCTACAACACGAAAGAAGAGAATAAAGGCTAATTTTTATTGTGCTATTTCGTACTTTTCCTCTGTATTTTTGCCTTTTATCCTGTTTCATTATTTTTTACTATCCAAGGTAAAAATTGTTGATTTTGAAAGATAAGAAATACATGACAAGAAATACGATTGTCAATAAAAATGTAGCGAAAAGGAAAAAAGATAAGAAGTAAAAAGCAAGAAACAGAAAGCAAACATTGTAGATTAGCTTTAAATATCGCGCAATGCGAAAATTATATTACAAACTAATTTCGCATTACGGTAAAAATTAAAATCGTGAGCATTACCGTTCCTGCTTACGCCGCATTTATTTTAGGAAAATGCCGACGGAATAATACCGGTTGAAAAAAACGGCGATCCGATGTTCGGACACGAGGATTTCCTTGACACGTGATGCGGTATGGAGGAGTGCGTCAAATTGGATTTAACGAGGAGTATTAGCCTCAGCAATTTTAACTCCGAACAGATCGACCGCATGTTATCGATTGCCCAAATAAAGCCGGTAATGAATCAAGTGGAATGTCATCCGAATTTGAATCAGAGAAAATTGAAAGATTTTTGTGCGGATCATGACATAGCTGTCACAGCTTATAGCCCGTTTGGTTCGCCTAATTGGCCTTGGACTAAACCTGGCGATCCAAAAGTGGTTCTCGATGCACCTGAAATTGTAAATATTGGCGCTAAATACGATAAAACTTCCGCACAAGTTATTCTGAGATACTTGGTAAGATGTGCTATTATTAATTGATGTTGTACGCAGCTACTGGGTGTCTCTTTAATCCTTGACCGACTTAGGCCCGATTTCACAATATATAATTACCTAAAGATTAAAGGTTACTATATATTGTTATTTGTTATTATATGAAAACGGGTCTAAGGTCGGTATTCATAGTCGATTCTTATTTCAAGATCATCTTAAGTAATGTCTTAAGACGCTAATGCAGCCCTCTGATTGATTCGTGACATCTTAAAACTTTAAGACTGAACTTAAGGCGGTCTTAAATATAAGAACTGACTATGAATACCCGCCTTGGAGACCATCTTTTCGTTACGGAAATATTGAGACATTAATTATTTATTTTTTAATTATAAGCAATTAGAAAAGAAGGAATTAAATTCACAAATTTTAGAAAACCAAATGGATAGCAAGATGACGTTCTCCAATTATTTTCAAATGAAATGTCATTTAAAGAAAATCTTAATTAGAAGAGTAGGAGTTAAAAATATGCATGATGTAAAAAATTGGAAAGTTGCAATAAATGATTTTTGATAAGGAAAAACTGACTTCTCAAATTGGTCAGAGAAAACTTGTCATTAAAGGGATTCCCATTGATTTTAAGACACTTTATAGATTGAATAATTTAGCAATAATTTTTTACGAACAAGTTGATATTGATACTATACAAATCCCAAAATCTAGTTCAAAGAAGCGTATTGAACAGAATATTAACATCTTTGATTTTAAGTTAACTCTGGAAGAAATTGCCACAATTGACAAATTCGATTGTGGCGGACGTGTAGTGTTTGAACAGTCGTATACTTAATTATTTTTTAAAGAATGTCATTACAGTACATTCCCATACAGCACAGAATTTGCAGCAATATTACTGCAACATGCAATATTACTGCAATGTTGCAGTAGTATTGCCGCAACTTTTGTGCTGTAGGGATTTTGAACATCTAAATAATTTTCTATTTTTTCAGATATAAAACACATAAAGATTATCCTTTCCACTTGGAATTTTAACTGAAAGCGTTTACTGGCAAACATGCCTTAAAAAGCTCCTAGACAATCAATATTATGGCACAATATTTAATCATCTGAAGACTATATAGAGTTTCCAGACTGTTATTCTAAATTGTTTAGATAGGGATATCAATATAATACTATATAAAATAATTGATCTATTGTTTAAAATAATTGTACAATATTATTGAACATCTACTAAGAGCCTCTTTAAATTTTTGATGCAATCTAATCATTGAATCTAATTGTACAATATCGGCTTATGTAGAATAAATCCTATGTTGCATACACAATTGAATACTTTCAATCTTGACTTTTTTATTCTCAACCACTCCTTATTCTCGAGTAGTTGAGACTTCATAAGGTTTGGAATGGATCTCTTTTATTTTTCCATTACTTCTAGGTTACTTTACATATACGCAGAAAATTATGAACATACACGAACAACGATCACGCGAAAATTATTCTGTCTGAACTATGTTAGAATACGCGCGAGTAGTTATAAAAAAAAAAAATACTAAAGGATTTCCATAATGAATCGATTATTAATGCACTTCGATATGTATTTCGATATTTATTTCTAAACAATATCTGTTATGAATTAACATACATTTTATAATTGTACTGTGTGCGTAATAATTTTTTATATAAATTTAAAATATAATATATTGCGAAAATATAATATATAGCATATCATAATATCGTAAAGTATTTTTTCAATATTTCATTATCTAATCTAGAGTTAAATATTATATGTCCCGCAACTCGTTGAAGATCTATGAAAATAAATAATGTTATCGTTTCTTGATGTGCGAGGTTGTAAACATGACTCTTTTCTTTCACTTATAATCGATTAAAAATGAAAGGAATAGATGAAATCGCAGATTGAATCATGTAATATAATATCCGTCTAACAAAAAAATAGAACGAATGAATTAGCAGAAAATCACTGCGACGTATGTACATAAAGCGCGTGAAATCATAGTCAAGAGTGAGTGTTAATATTGTGCTGATGAAGTGTAGGAACTTCTCATGTTGTGTTATACATGTGTGAAACGAATTTCCTGATTTCTAGACAGCTCATAATACATTTTCATAATAGTTATCTTCGTAATAATTATCAATTTCAGAAAAAGTAAATGGATTTATTGCAGAGATATACGTTTAATTTGTAAATTCATAGAAATTGTATTATACATTATATTCTGATAATTAACCCTTACCGTACTAATATGGGTAACTAGTGACCGAGCGATGCCTGTTCGTGCAAGTTTCTTTGAGTCTTTCGGTAATTATAAATTATATATATATATATATACTACATTTTATTATTTTCCAAAATAAAGAGTCAATATTTATTCTAGAAAATTGAAAGTATGTTGGTAAATTTTTAGAGATTTTTTAAATTATTTTGAAGAGGTAAAAAAACGAAAAGATTTGAAGTGACCCTTGATAGTATGGATGAGGCACCAAATTGTAGATGGTACGGTAAGGGTTAATAATTAAAGAAATTATTAAATTATATACCTAAATATTATCTAATTTAAAAAATGTGATGTGATGTGTTTCTCTACTTTAAATTTGAACAATATTCGCGGCTATCTATTCGATATAAATGCTTAAAACATATATATATGGCTGTGTCCAGATTCCACACCGGGTGGGTGATCGCTGGGTGACTGGGTGAGTGGGCGGAGCCTAGCAAAAAGTACCGGAGTAGTTTGGGAATCTGAATGCACTCTGAGACAAGAGTGCAGGGCTGCGTTCAGGAATTATGCCTAGATAACTCTAAGGTGCATTTTTGCTATAATATATGTAATGTAATCTATAGCTTAGAGTTATCTGGGTGTAATTCCTGCAGCGGAGAGTCCTACAAGCATCGGTTAAGGCATATCCACACAAACTTGCATAGTCGCATAAACGTATGTATAAAGAAAATTATCCAATCACATTTTATGTACGACTTTAAAAGAGAACTGCAATTGGATAATTTTCTTTATGTATATGTTTATGCGGCTATGCAAGTTGTGTGGATATACCCTTACAGCAAATAGTAACGTAAATATATCAGATTTAATATGAATCACATATAATTATATATAACTAATATACACGTATATAATAATGATAAAAGATATAAGATAAATATCTTACCAATATCTAAGTCCCGACCTGTAAAACTTAATAGATGATTAAATACTTAGCCTCCTTTGAGTTATGGTTTATACTGTTTATAACAGGCATAACCTGAAATTTAAATTTTCGTATAGATGCACATCAAACATGCTGGAATAGCACAGGAAGTCTTTAATGCGCCACTACTACCCATTCCACCCGGCTCAAGGAACAGGGTGGTTTTTCCATCCTCCCGGGCTGCGTTCAGAAACATCACCCGAGTGCCCCCGCGTATCGTATTATCTTTGTTGTTCACTCAGTGTTAAACAAGGATAAGATAATACACGGAGACACCCGGGTGATGTTTTTGAACGCAGCCCAGGGTGGATAGAGTAGGGCCGGTATTCATATGCTGGTATTCATAGTCGGATCTTATATTCAAGACCGTCTTAAGTACGGTCTTAAGAAGTCACGAACCAATCAGAGTGCTGCATTAACGTCTTAAGACATTACTTAAGACGGTCTTGAAATAAGAATTGACTATGAATACCGGCCATAGTCAGATCTTATATTCAAGACCTTTGACTATAGGTGCGTTCCGTATCGCGCATGATGTGCATGATGCATCCATTGTCCTTGTTTAACATTTGGTGAGCAACAAGGATAAACGATGCATTATGCGCATCATACGAGAAACGGAACGCACCCTATATACCTCTGGACTGCTAGTTACCCCCACTTTTCCTACCTTTTCCATAAGATAGAAAGAGAGGACCGTATATCCAAGATCTCAGAGCCATCAGGTCCGGAAGTTGGCCAAATCAAGAACTAACTAGCTGCATTTTAAGTAAGAATCG